TTTTTTTTTTTTTTTTTTTGTTCCCCTGCTTTCTTCTGTAACCATATATCATATCAAATTCAGTTCATTATATGTATATGTATACTTGAAAACACAAATTCAGACCTTTTTTTTGTTAAATTATTAGATTTCTTCTCTCTTTTAGTTCATTTTTTCTGTGTAACCAGCAATAATGGAGTTTGGGAGGAAGAGAAGAGTAAATGGTGCTTTTCGTAGCAATGGAGGCACGAAGAGAGCAAGAAGTGGTTAGTTTTCGCTTTCTAAGTCTTCTTTTCGTGCACTTATTGCACGCCTTGTTGTACCCAGAAGTTTAATATTTTATTTCCTAATGGAATGGGGCAAAAATGATAATGTAGGAAATTAACTGAAAGTTGAGTTATTTTGTGGTTAGAATGATAAGTTTTATGGTTTTCCTGCAATATGTTATAAGTGAGTAACCTTCTATGTAATTAACCGGAACACCCTACGGTGTCTTTGCATATCTTGTTTAATGAGTACAGTTAAATTTAGGTGATTTTGAATTTTTATAATGATAAAATTGGGTTGTATGGAGAAATTGTACTGTGTGAATATATGAATCTATTTAATATATTGCAAATGCCATTAGAAATTATGAACTGAAGAGAAATAATCAATCTTTTGCAACAGAATCAGAATCCTTTACTACTGGCGTAGGAAGCAAATCAAAGCCATGCATGAAGTTTTTCAGGTTTCATGTTTAATCCATCTAAAAGAAGTATTCTCAAACTGATTCCTCTATGTTCTAATGTTTTGTAACGCTTGAACCTTAGCATTTGGAATAGCAAGCTAGTGATGGTAAAAGTTTTCCAGCAGCACGCAGAATTTTATTTTACAAGGCAAATGTTGTTAGAGCACTACTTATAATGTCATCATGAAAGTAAAAAAGGGAAAGAAACAAGCACTCTCTACCTCTGTTTATCCCGACTATTTCTATCAGCTGTATTTACCTACAGGTTCATATAGTAATTTTCTATACTATTGAGAATGTTCAAGCCGGAGTGTTGAATCAAGAACAGCTTATCTAGGTTTTTCCCGTTGGAAGATTTTTCAAGATTGAGGTTGTGAGTGCCAGTGTGTGTGGATAGAGTTTGGAATTGATATCGCCAAAGTTTCCAGATTTTTCTATATAATCTCTCTGAAACTTCCTGATCAAAAAATAACAACTGTTATTACTGTACTATGTATAGCTGTTGTGCCTCTGCTGTGAGCATCTACCAACGCATCTTGTCTTAGATGATATATATGTTACTTATTAGACTAAATCACTAAATTTTAGGCAATATTCTCTTATAGAACCATGACTGTCTGGTAACCAACTACACAGATGGTACTGGAAGTAACTCATGAATAAGCCAGGGTGGAATATGAACTTAGTGCAATTATTTTCCTCATTTTAATTATTCAGTGATTGTAGTGTTTTGGCATACCATTTTTTGTCGTATGAAGAAGCATTAAATATCCAGTTTTTTCAATCATGACAAGAAGATTAAACAGTAAATCTTCTTTTCTTAGTCAACGAATATTGGTAACTGAAAAGTCCAAAAATGGCATATTGGACAAAAAGATACGGTGGTTATAGATATTGAGTCTATCAATTGCACAATGAAATGAGTATAGGACTGTAGGTTATATGCAATGGCGGAACCAGGAATGTTGCAAAAGGTGTTCAAGGTTTAATGTATATTTTATAAAAAGTAATTTTTAACTTATTTACATAATATAATTTTCTATATACTCTGTATAATTTTCCGATGAAGCTTTCTATGTGGCTACGCCACTGGTTATATGCTTATCGGATGTAGATAAGCTCTGATTTTTCGCCTAGTAAATACCATTACTTGCACCATATCATACCAATATGGTATTTTAAGTGGACTCACATTAGGTGTTTGTTTACAAATTTGAGATGGAACTGTCTAACATCTAAAATTTGATTTGAAAAAGAATGAACCTGGTAGATTCATCAATTTAGTTCAGACTGAAGTTCCTCATGAACTTTCTTTTTCTAATTTCGATTAATCAGAAAGGAGTTTATCTAAGAGCTGGTTTACCTGGCATCCAAGTTAATGAACCTGGTGCTAGTTTCTCGTGCCTTACATTTAATGGAATAACATTTGAGATTCTCGTGGTCTTTGTTTAGTGATAAAAATCTTTCGCCATATTGCTAAATCTTTTTGTTTTCAATCATCTTCTCGCTTGTAAGTTCATGTTGGAAACAGACAGGATTTTTTAAGGTAGTAATCTAATCTTAGAAATTAAGATTTTCTTTCTAGTGCCATGATATTTATTACTACATTTAATAGCAATCGCTCTGTGTAAGTAGTAGCAGGTAGTGTTTGCTGGAACAATGTTATGCACATGCTAAACAGGGAGGGAGAAAGCTAATGTTTTAAACTTGCTGATGATTTAATAATATGCACACCAGTGTGTTCTCTGTTCCCGGCTCCATTTGGCTCTCTTTGGTTGCATTCCATTGCTCAGCTAATAACCATTTTCCTGATGTGGTGTAGCACTTCCGGATGCTCATTTGGGGAGGCATGTCACTTTCTTCATTATGTCCCTGGCTACACTGCTATGAGTCAGCTATCAAACATGGGTTCGAATCCAGCAGCTCTAGTTGGAAGGAATGGTGCCTCTTTTAGTGATGGTCCTGCTCCAGCTGTGAAGTCTAAGTTTTGCAACAAGTTCAACACTGCGGAAGGGTGCAAATTTGGTGATTAGTGCCACTTTGCTCATAGCGAGATAGAGATAGGAAAGCAAGTGCATCCGGCTTATGATGATTTCCCAGCAAAACGACCTATGAGTGGGTTCTCCGGATACCTTGAATCATCCCAACCTTTTCTAGCTGCGACAAACTTTGGAGCATCTGCAACCACTACCATTGGGATAGATGCCTCTCTTGCTGGAGCGATCATAGGGAAGAATGGTGTGAACTCAAAACAAATATGTCAGCTTACAGGTGTCAAGCTCTCTATAAAGGAGCATGAAAGAGATACTGATAAAAGGAATATTGAGCTCCAAGGAACCTTTGATCAGATCAATCAGGCCAGTGCCATGTTACGGGAGCTCATATCCAATATTCGTACACCTACAGGTGGGTCAAAAAACGCCGCCCCATTTACTCGGGGTTCTGCTGGCCCAACAACATACCAAGTGTAATCCCACAGCTGTGCGAATCTTTCAAAAGGCTTAGGCACGTTTGGAGAGATGCCATTTTGCTCATGGGGCTAGTGAGTTGCAGAAGCCATTGGCTTGGTGTTCATACTGTTTATTAGCATTTTGTCTGTGCTGTATTAGTGTATTATTTCCATAGAGTATTTGGTGGCCTCATAGACACAGTCCATTGGTGACCGTAAAACACGTTATTATGCAAGTCCGTTTAGGATCCTGTTACTGCCGCTTTAGAATAATTGGATTTCGAAATTGAGAAATGTTAACGACGAGCTTTATAACAAGCCCCTTTCATATCTATGTTCACGTATTTTATTGCGTAGGCTCTTGAAACTCGGGCAAACAGTATCTGTACTGACTGAATTAACAGGAATTCCAATGGAGCTTAATCAAACATCTTAACCATATTGAAGATGTAGTATTCCTTATGTTCCACGTTATGTAGCACCACTACCATTTGGAAAGTTAAAAGAGGTTATTCTTTATTACAATTTTTCCAAATATTTTAAAATATTGAACTCATCACTTAAATGAAGGGAAGTAATAAAATTTGATTCTTTTTTCCGATAAAATATATACTGTAACCTTAAATTTTCACTTTTACAATGCTAGTTCTCCGTTCCTTTCAGTTCCGGAATTGCTAATTTTGCTTGGTGCCTCACCCAGATATTATCTTGTGTCCTTTGAAATATACGTGGCTGTTTGGAAGGGAATGTTTCTCTCCAATCTGGGTGTTGGATTAGATAGTCCCACTGCCTGTAGAAAGAATTTGTTCAAATGATGTTTCACGTGGGAAAGGAATTAGTGTGTCATAATTTTGGAACTATTGTAGTACCTTCTTAGGCCATCCACGAAATCTGGAGCCTCGGCAAAAGGAGAAGTGGAACATGTAAGAAGGATTTCTTGGTCAGATAAATTCTGTAGCATGAGGGCTATATGTATCTTACGCATGCTCCTATGTCAACAAAAATGGAGTTCATTAGGAGATATATTTAAAACATACATCAAACAGGCCTACCTTTAGTGGCATAGGCAAACAAAAAATGTGTAACCAAGAGATCACAGATTTTGGTGCTTTTTAATACCAATTGTCCCACCTATGTAGGTTCTATCAATTGTTAGAAGTCAAAATCTTTTTTTTTTTTCGTCGCTCAAGTTAGTTAAGTTAAAGTTAGTCGCTAGTGTCTCAGCTGGTATATAGTTGACTAGTGTCTCAGCTGGTGTAGTTATGTATCTATATATTACTCTTGCAGTTCATCTAAACAAAATTAAAATATAGATAAGGAATTTAGCTGACAAAGTAGCTTATAACGAATTCAGGGAAGGCGACAAACTGAGAACTGACATGACAGGATAAGAAATATAAATCATGAGATAATGTTGAAAAAGCAGTAAAACTATAAATAAAGAATCCAAAGGTAAGCAGTTTTACCAAGTGCATGGAGCAATCACGAATTGGTCATTCTGAGTATCATATGTCTCTAATAATCTTCCTTCCCAACTACCGTCCTCAAAAGCTGCAGTCACTCGTATTCTCCTAACAACTTCATCAGGACATCTTGTTGTTGCATCAAAGCTTGCTGGAAAAATAGACCCAGTGGCAGTTTCCACCTAAGCAAATGAATTTTGAAAAATCTAAGAATCTCCCCTCTAAAAAGATCTGCAGTTGCTTAGAAAATTATATACTCGAACAATCGTTTCTTTGTTACAGAGGAGAACCAAAAAGTATTGATGATCAGCCGACTGACTCAAGGCTCAATCCATAATCCCCCGGATGTTTTCAACATGCCAGTCAGTAATGCCGAGAAAACCCAATAAATCTTTCTCCTTAACGTGTTAGTTAATGTTTACTTTCCATCTCTATATGTATCAGTTCTTGATTTCTTTTTTTTTTAAATCAAGTAATAAGATTTTGTTAAGAATTGGGAAAAAATCCCGTATACAAGAAGTATACCCAAAGTAGAAAACCTTACAAAAAGATATGGTTTTCTACAAACGACACAGAGTCCTCTAGAACCCCACTTGTGGGACTACACTGGGTATGTTGTTGTTGTTGTTGACACAGAGTCCTCTACACTTATGGAAACCTCATGGGTGCAACAAAAAGAAACAAGGGATAAGAGGCTATTCCTCAAGTGAACAAAATCTTTCTCTATTCCGTCAAAAGCTCTCCTACTTTCTCTCTCTCCATATGGTCCACATAAGTGCTAGTGGAGCAACATCCCACTCCCTGTGTCTTCTCTTTCATCCACTAAAGGTCCAGCTAAACAAAACTTCTCTGACCGTGCCTGGATTCACCCATTGAAGACAATACAAACACAGTATTTCCCACCACAAGCGAGACGCCATCCAGGACATTGCATCTTGGAATATTGAGGTATCATGACTGTATAATAAAGGCTATCTTTTTTCTGAAATGGTAAACTCACCTACCCAGGAGCCGAAAATGACAGTCTTTTCCCACTTTGCTCCATTGGTGATTTTACCACTAAGCTTTCCCTCCCTTGTCCTGTGCTAATCAGCGCTATAAACTAAAGTGAAATACAAATTAGAGCTTACCAGCAAACCAGAGAAGATGGGGTATGAATTTCCTTCAGAATCTCGTCTTGTATTGTGCCCAAGAACATGAAGAGTGTGAATCTGGAACTTCATATTACTCTTTGCTAGGCTTTCAACTATTTTCTTGCACAAAGGGAAGGAATAGCCCTCCAATTCTGCATGACCTTCCGTAATACCATTAACATGCTGCATAAAAAGCGCAACAGATTCAGCTTCATTATCTAGCCTCTAGATGACTCACTATCTCACTGAAAATCAAAAGAAAAGCGGAGTCTTGGCCAGACTTTAGGCGAGCCATCATCAAAGCCACCAATTATATGAACCTGCATATTATACCCATCCAATGTCAACATCCAAAGTGATTAAAGAGCTAAAAAAGCTAGTTACTAATGTTGTTAGACATCAAGGATTAGAGAAGAATACATCCAACATGGCATCTGAGCTTTGATTGACAACAGATGCCAACATCTGGTCTAGGCCAACATCAACAATATATGGTGAATCCAAGTGAGCAACAGAAGTCCTGTAGCGAAGTCACAATCACAATAGTTAGACTTAAGCAGCATTGTACTGCAAATAATGACGTCCTGTCTAAATAGTTTCTCTTACATTCCACTTTTTTGGTTTCTTATGACAATGCCTACACAAGTTGTTGCCTCATCCGTGCCAACCGCCTATGTTCAAGAGCAAAGGAAATCTTTTAGAACTTCAGCAGAAAAGAGTGGAAATTTTTGAAAAAAATTGCTCATTTTTTGGTACTGCAGTAGATCAACATTGTTTGAGAAATGGAATGGTCAAGAAATGTGCTCTTCAACGTAAACACAAACAGAAATTGCAACAACTTTCAGTAAGTTGCAATTATTTTTACATAAATGACCACTTGAGGTGCGGCGTGGGCCATGTGGTTTCTCTTGAACGTGGAATGCTTTGTGCACCGGCCTGCCCTAAGTGACCTATGAAGCAGAAATACATTCAAGAGAAACCACATGGCCCACCATCAAACATATCCCTCTAACTTCTGCTATAGAAGACAGAAATGCTAAGACAGTAATTAAAAGAGAAATAATTTGACAGAGATGTACCGGAGAACTCTTAGTTATGCCAAGACAAAACCTTTAGAATGTCATCACAAGATCACAATTATTCCAGATGATGAAAACAGAAGTTCTCCAAAATGATAAGAATAAGGATGAGACACACAATAGTCAGCAGAAAGAGGTTTAACAGATGCATCCCAGCAATGCAGATGAATCTCTTAAAGCTATAAACTCTCAGTGGACAGAGGAGATTTGAGCATGGGTGCTTCAATCAGATAGGATCAGGAAAGTGTCCAGAAGAGAGTCCAAGTACTTGAAAGGGAAATAACAAGTGCTAACACAGAACACCTGAATCAGCACACCATAAACATAGTGGACATCTTAGATCCAAGTATATCTGCAAGGTGCACATATGGAATAACATAATGCATTTTACCATCCGGCAGACTGAGGACTGCATTGCCCTCGTGCAAAATATTCAATCTGATCATCCAAATGCATCGCTTTCCCTCTAGGCAATTACACTCTCAACTGTTAAGGCTAATTTATGGTCTACTACTTTCCTTTTGTTGAGCATAAAATATTTTTTCTTGCAGCAATGGGCACGTTTAGCACACAGATACTCACAGCCTTGCCCAATTTTATAGTGCTAAACCTGGTAGTTATAGCCAATGCCTTCTATAACTATTTAGAAAGATTAGGTACTATGCAGCAATCAGCATATTGTGGCACGAAAAGTGGGCGATAAAGACAGATCAGACGAGGAAAGCTCCTTTAAATCAACTTCTCTCCTGCAACTGCAAGTCTGGGACTATGAAAAAAGAAGGAAGAAATCCAAATGGAGAGAAAGGATGAGAAACAAGGTCAGATGTTACTTCAGTAGGATTGTTATAGAAAGCATGAACATACATCGACAAGTGCAGGATCCACAGTTGCATATTCTCTCTGGAAAATGTAAACCCATGTATTATGTCTTGATATACTCAAACTAGAGTCTTTAGAAACAGAGAACTTCCTTTCTTCAACATCATTCAATGAAGACGAGGCAGATACCAAAACTGGATGCTCCATTAAAGCTGTCAGGATGTCATGTTCCTGTTCATATAGGATGTTCTTATTAAGTAGCTACATAAAAACAGAAAACGAAACTTTGTATCCATTGTAATGCAGAGATAAAGTTTGATGTAATGAGATTTTAGATTCAATATGATAATGTCTCCCTGTGAAACTAATCTTGTTGGTTAATAGGAGTCATTAAAAGCAACCTCCTCAGATGTATCTAAATCAATTAAAATTGGTGAATGGCTCATCAGTTATATATGCATCGCCAAAAATATTTGCCTGTGATAAATACTCTGCCTGACACTGTTCTAACCACTGGATTAGATTATAAATATTGCTTATGATTATTTATTGTCTAAAAATTGATAAGATTATCAGTCTTTTTCAATAATAATAATAATAATAAATAATTTTAAAAAATAGTTCAAAGATTACAATTTGTTGTAAAATAACCAAGCAGCGTCTATAATTGATGAAACTGATTAAACAAACTAGAATAAAGAAACTGAGTAAGCCAAACGTAACAATCCAAACCAAACAGTCCCTTTTTAATGCAATGTACAGCTAACAACAGAAAGTCTTTTTCTCTACTCAACACATTGATTCTTTAGACAAATATAAGTCCAAAAGAACTAAAAAATTAATAACCAATCAACAATAGCGCAGATGAACAAATTTAACCAGAAAAAAAAAAGAGAAAAGGGGAAAAGGTGGAGTCTTTACAGATTAGAGTACAACAGCATTACTATAAATCAACCATATATTGCAGAAGACGCATTTATCTCAAGGATAAAGAAGGGAATAGTTGTAAAAGATTCATAGGTGGGTGCAACCCTCAATTAAGATTGAACCTAAACCTGAAGTTGGATTTTTGTTAAATAAAAAAAGAATAAAAGAATAAAAGTTGACAATACCTGAGACTGAGAAGAAGAAGAATCATCTGTAGGGAAAGGAACTCCACCCACAAATATCATAGTGGTGCTTATGTTAGAAAAGAGAAACAAATTGCAGAGGATTGTCTTTTGAGATGTAGAGCTGAAAAACAAAGGCGCAGAGAATAGAGATGACCAGAGGGGCAACGACTGGACTTCTCTCCTCTTGCCCTTCGTTTGGTAAGTCTTGAACAATATTTCTGGTAGAAATTATATTATTTGGAGGCTTAAACTTTTGATTTTAAAATATTGGGCAACTGTTTTATATACTCTTGTTTATGGTTTTGATTGGAGTTCAACTGCTTTATTTTAAAAAATAGGGGGTGTATTTACAATTTTTTTTATTTATCATTAGTTATTCGAAATTTATTGACTCAATTAATACAATAATTCCGAACAAAATAATTTTAATTTCAAAATGAGATAATTTATTCAGAAAAATTAGTTGTTTCCATGATAAAGTTATTGATTCTATCCACAATAACATAATCAACAACAACAATATACAAAGTGTAATCCATGATATCAAGCAGAAATACATAGATGTATTATGTCACAATACATCATAATGCAAAATGGTGAATAGAAAACAATTTAAAGAAAAATTCGAGCCATATTGGACATTTATATAAATCAATTATTCTAACATGTTTTCCTTTTATTCTTCTCTATCAATTTATCTTTTGATAAACAAGTGGCTGTTGTAAACAAATGAGCAAATTAATGAGGCATTCAAGTTTGATGCGGAAAATAATTATGAGTAGAATTAACGGTAGAGTTGTTTAACCAAAAAGTATAACTTTCGGCTGAAACTAGTATATTTATGTAATAATGGGTTAAACCTAATTAATGATAATATCTCTAGATGCGAATCTTGAAAACGTATGTGAGGTGGGACAGATCCAGTAAGGGGTTGACAATAACAAGCATTAAATAGTCATATAAAGTATAAGCAATAATGGAAGAGTGGCCGATAATAAATAGCAATAAATAGCATTTGAGTAAATAAGATGAGTGATTCACCCAATAAATAATGATCTAGGTGATTATTCCTCCTGGCAATGATGAGTGATAGACAGATCGTAGAACATTCAAAATCTTTTCGGATCTGATGGAAAAGTGTAGGATAATATGAACATGAATCTTGATAAAAAGGTGTTCTTTGTATATTTTCAAGAGGAAGAAAATCTTTTAGCAAGGTCTGCTCTTATCACAATGAATATCACATGCCCTTATTCATTATCTTTTTGGGTGTTTATATGGGCCATACCCCCAATAAACCCTAGTAGCACAAGTACAAAGAATATCCAATGGAATATTTTCTTTAATATCTTGCCCTAATAAACTAGTCGTTACAGCTCTTCTTACGGCGCTCGACACCGACCATTTTCTGCATCTCGACCACAGGCTTCACCATCTCCTGATCGACCTCGGCCGGCTCTTTTCTCGATATTGCTTAGCCCCCAGTACTGAGACACATATCGACCCATACAGTTAGTCCCTCCGCTTATTAAGGCCGGCCTCAGGCGAACTTAATGAGCGAATTCTGTTTACTGCGGTTGGAAAGATTTGGACGAGCGAGTCGAGCAGTGACGTTTCAGAAGAGATGACATTGTGACCTTTCGTGAACCACAACCTTTGGGGTTGTGTCGCTTCCGCACCAGAATGACGTCATGACATCGTGTGTCATTATGGTGCATTTTCCCGATGCTCTGCGTCGTTTCCCTTGCGACTGTCGGTCGGGGGCTGTTGTTTCGACTCCAGTGCCAGGTAATGATGGCATAGTCTCTTGGTTTTGATCCATGAATTCTTATAAAGAGAGGTGTAACGACATTCATTTGCTCCCTACACATTTTTCTCATAAAAACCTTGTGCTTTCTTCTTCTTCTTCCATTGCCGCATATCTTCTTTACTGGTCTTAGCAATTCTTATTGCCTCAAATACTTCCTTGCCTGAATATCCTCTTTCAAAAATATGGCTAATGTATCCTCTGGTTCTAGTGCGAGAGCTGACCCTGTCCCTTTGGCGGTGCTTATGCCCCCTCGTGTTGGTGGTGTCTCTGTCGTCGTTGAAGATGAGCATTTTCCTACGGTGGAGGAAATAATTCCTCGCAGTGAGAAAGTTAGGCCTGACTTTTCGAAGGAGCCTGAAGGCGAGCCCGAGGCCTCAGAATCAGCGATGAAAGAGGTCGATCTAGCTGAACTTAGGGCAAAATTCAACATTCTTGCCCACATCTATCTGGTCCTAGCAGGGCGTGATATGGTACAAATCCACCGCCCCGGGTATTGCGCATTTGCTTGCGGGCATATCGATAACAGAGCTTCCAGCTTCCCCTTTGCATCGTCTAGTGGATGAGTAGGAGGAGTCGCCGAGCGACGAAAATTTGGTTCACCGTAAGAGAAGATCGGTGGACGTCGGTGATGGGGTCGCCCGGGCTGTGGATTTAGTAAGGGGCGATTTTGTCATCCGTGAGACGATGACAATAGTGCTTGAAGATGACATATTTGTCGTCTGAGATTCTGCCATCGACTGAGGCCGTAGAGGGTGTGTCCATTCCCGATGCCACGATGGAAGTCGAAGGGCCATCTGCGAGGGTCTCTGATACTTTACGGCAAGATGATCCATCGGCCTCGCGACCGGCTGACGGTCCTTCTTCGCTGGCCGACAGGAAAGGTAAAAGCGTTGTCGAGGATAGCTATGAGACGGGCTCTGATATTGACGCCGATGAGGTGAGGATGATGGGAGAGGGATCTACCCGACTCGAAGTGAGATTGGAGGGGTCAATGCGGACCATTGCAATCCTCATGGATCGAGATTTGTTGGTAAATACGGAGAACGTGGTTTCTTCCCTTGGTCCCCTCTGTTTCGATGTGGAGGGTAAAACCCTTGAAAAGCTGGATGACGCTACCTTATCAAGGAGCATAGTCGGCCTCGCTCTTAGGGTAAGCTTTTCGACTTCTTTCATTTTTATTTGTCAAGTTCAATGTTTAGGCTACATTTTTACTCTCCGTTTTTTTTTTCTCTTTCAGACTGTGATTTTGGAAATTGAAAGTGGCCGAAGAGAGGAGAGGCGTAAGGCTATTTTTCTGAAGATGGAGCGAAAATACCGCAAGTACTATGGCAAGTACCACGAGATTTGTAGGCAGTTTTATGAGAGTGGCAATTTCCAGGCTCTTCGAGACAAACTGAAGGAAAAGGATGATGAGCTGGTGAGGGTCATCGAAAAATGCAGCGTTGTTGAGGGGGCGCTAAGAGATAAAGAAGAGGAACTTGAGGTTAGTAGGGGGTCGAAGCCCAGTGCGGCGATCTCCAAGCCCAGGTGGTCTTGCTACGCGCCGAGCTTGAGGAATGTGAATTCAAAGCAGATGATTTAAGTGGCGAGGTCACCGGGAAGGCAGCGGATCTCGAGAAGGCGGAGTTAGCTCGGTCGGGGGCTATGAGGAAGACGAAGGCTTTGAAGATCGTGATCCGTGTTCTTTATTCCGAGCGAGAGAGTGCCTTAGAGACGGCCATAATCAAAGAAGAGCGGCTTGATGAATGGATTGGAGAATTAGAGAAAGAGGCTTCTGGCCTTTGTGATCGAGTCACCGCTTTTGAGGCCGAGAAGGCACAATTACTAGCTCGACCATCCTCTTCATGTTTTCCTAACGTTCCTCGAGATTTGTACGAGGAGTGGATTTAGAGATCTGATGAGGGCAGGAACCATTTTAAAAGCCGTCTTCGAGGATGCTTGTGTTAAGGCACGTGGAGCTTGGGTCGCTTGTGGCTACGATCCTGCTACACCGGAGGCCGGTGATGATAAGGGGTATGCGGGCGTGGATCGGATTGAAGAGGCCGTCTGGTATGAGGATGAGTATCCTGAGGGCGATGGTGATGGTGAATGGGCAAATGGGGATTGCCTAGGTGATTAGGCCGATGGCGCTGCTGGGCCTGGCGGCGATTGGTAGTTTTTCTTTTCCTTCTTTTTGTTTTGCCGCAAACTTGTGCATTTTTTGTGGGCATCTTTTCGAGCCTTTGTAAAAAATATTCTAAGTATGAAATACCAGTTTTGTTATTTGTACCTGATTCTTTTTCTTCGGTTCGAACTTGTATGCTTTTGATCTTGTTGCTTGGTTTTCTTAGTCACAATCATTTAGCTCGAGTTGGGTTGAACATATCCTTAGTTTAATTATGGTTGTAGGTCGACAAGTGTTAGTTCGATCGAGGTCGAAACAAAACCTAAGTTTGATCATGGTCGAGGGCCAGTAGATGTTAGTTCGAACGAGGTTGAACATATCGGTATATTTATTTATGGCCGAAGGACGGTTAGGTGTTAATTCGAATGAGGTCGAATACAACCTATACTCAATTATGGCCGAGGGCCGGTTAGGTGTTGATTCGAACGAGGTCGAATACAACCTGTACTTAGTTATGGTTGAGGGCCGGTTAGGTGTTGATTCGAATGAGGTCGAATACAACCTATACTTAGTTATGGTCGAGGGCCGGTTGTGTACCTCGAGGTGCAACATTTGTCGGCATTGTGATCTTTAAGGCAACATTGCCTTGGTTGTACATTTAGATAAATAGAGATAAACTTCATGCATTTGTGCTTTGTTCGTACACTTGGAGAAATTTATATATTTTTTCGGACGTTGGCTGGCATTTCCATTCCAGTCCCAGTCCTAGCCTATCCAGCCCCTTCATTGGTCGACCTGGAGAAGTCTTGAGAGGTCGAGCAATGAACTAGCCGTCATATGCCTCCGTCTGTGCGCATTTTAATCTGAAGTGTCCCCTCCGTCGCCTCGTTAAAACATAATTTCAAAAGTAATCAAAATTTAACCATTTTTCATGTAAAGATAAATCTAAACGAAAATATTGTTCTGGGATTGATGGATTTGGTGTTTTGAGAAGTGTTTGTTGATATTAACACTAGTTTTATGTATTGAATCGTTTTGTGTATTTTTATTATTGCATATATATTCACTTGTTTATGTAATCGAAAGAGGCATAATTTGTGATGTTCTGCATTATCTTATTGGTTAAATTCATTGATTCTTGTTAGTAATCGAAAGAGGCTAGTTTAATTAATGTTTAGACCTAGTTAAGAGGATAAGCGAAAGAGGTTCTTCTAAGGATCAATCCACTACGAAATCTTGCATATATTCACCAAACTTAACTTAGTTCATATCGTAAGGTTGAGACTTAATCGAGAGAGGAATTTCTACTGAATGTTTGAA